GTGGGTTTAATAATAAAAAGAATGATTTATTCTTTTTCTCTAATATTTAGTTCCTCATATCTAGCATTGGCAACTCTCGGGTTAGAATCTAGATATATTCTCTGTCCATCTAAAAAAAATGGATCAGGAGGGGCATCCCTTTCGATTTATCTCCTTGCCTCCCTTCCTCTCCTCTCTGCCACCGTCAACGAACTATAGAAGAAGAGAAACAAGAAAAAGCTTCCTTCAGCGACGGTAATTCCAAGTCCAATCGGAGACGACTCACTCCATGGCCCCTCTCCTGTGGATGGGAAAGATCTGGAGGCGAATCACTCCTTGCTGCCTCTTCTGTCGGGATGGAGAAGAAGCCGGCCAAACCTGGAGAAGAAGTCGTCGGTTCTGTCACCGCCCACCATGTCCCTGCCCTGCCGGGAAGAAGCCTGGGTTTTTGCTGGGATTGGGATTTGAGATAAAATCCCAGGGATTGCGAGAAGGAAGAGGAAGAAAGCCTAGGTCTTCGCTGGGATTGCGTCGCCGTTGGGATTTCGCACAAAGGAAAAGGAAGAAAGAACATTGTGCGATGGTACAGATAGAAGGAAGAAGAAAGGATTAAGGAATAAAGAAATTAAAAAATAAAAAAATTGGCAATCAATGAAATCCCACCAAAAACCCGTGTGCAACGCTGGGGTGAAACGGATCCGAAGCCACAATTTGACGTTTTGTTGATTTGTGCCTTATTGTCCAAATCTGTTGGGCAACAGGAAAAAGAAACCCAACTAAACACGTTTTATTTTCTTGGTTTCCACAATTTTTAAAAACACAACAGAAAACAAAAGCAAGCAACAATACTAAACATGGCCTAAAATTAGTAATCATAATTGCACTTTTATGTTATGTGTGTGGACATTATATTCAAATTAATTAGTATTGATTGTACACAACACAGGGCAACTAGGGGAAACTGTAATGAATTGGTCAGCCGATCCCAACCATCACTTACTTTCCCGATGATGGGGATCAAACATAGTGTTATTCCCTGTCGGCGTGTCCTCCAATTCCTGGTCTAATAAATTAAAGGTTGGTTTGGAAGTTGTGATTGTTAGAGTTGTGTTTGTAGGAAAACATGTATTATGCACAATCCAATATTTGAAAGTGTCAAAATGTAAATGCATTGTTTTAGGTAGGTCCCACCAACAATCACAAAAAATGATGCATTATACAATCTCAACTAAAAGTTGTAATTGTTGTGATTGTTGCTTTTTGATTTGTGTCAACTTTTTCTTTCCATTTATATTCCTAATAGTTTTTGTCTTATACTAAAAGTTGAGGGTAAATATGACATTTCCCCATAAAAATAACTTAATGTAAATCAATGCATAAAGTAGAATATCAACAACCAAACAATGTATTGTTAAAATGCATTCATTGTATCAATACATGCATTTATATTATGGTAATTAATTACAATGCAATGATTTAACATTCGCAACTTCCAAACGACCCTAAGGTCTTCATTCCCTAAACGAACCAAATTCCAAAAGCATAGAAACCCCAAAACTTACTTTCCCCTTAAAGTCGAATAAAAACCGAATGGGTTTCAATCAAACTGAACCAAAAACTCCTAAAATAGAAAATCCAAAACTTATTAGGCTCCCTTCACTTCTCATTCCTCTTTTGTGATTTTGGTAACATAAAACGAAATCTGAATAATAGAAGCTGTCATCTTCTGAAAAAAAATTATTCCTTAAAACCTGTTTAGTTGGGATTTTAGGTGAATCGAGAAACTATAATATGACAATGAAAACCAGTTTAATTGGTTACTAGATCTGAAAATGAGAAACTGTATAATTTCTTGATACTAGCTAGTACATACTTCAATATCAAATAATTAGAAGTACAGTTACAATTGTCAGCAGAAAACAGAAAATGAAATGAGAAATAATAAGGGTCTTAGGTTTCCCTAAAACTCAAATAAGATTGAATGAGTTTCGCTAAATTTTGAAATTAAAATTTTTTTTTATCATATTGTGATTTTCAAAATATTTAATCTTTTTAAGTTTAAGAGAAAACCATTAAATAAAAAAATTGTTTATTACCGAAAAATCAAAACTGTTATATTTCTTATTTATTTGGTTTCGATGTAAACCAAAAATAGAAACCCAACTGAATTGATCAACAATTCAAAAAGATGTGATGTCCTCCGATCTTAAGAGGGTGTGAGCAATGAACGATCAATTAGCTCTAATTAAGTAATTAACCCTAAAAACAGTCAATGAGTTATTCTTGTTAGTTATTAGCCTTACTATTGATCGTTAACCAATAGTTAGCTCATTCGTCTAGTATTTAGGACATAGGTACTTTGCATTTTTTCTTGGCTTGGAGGTAGCTCATACAACCATACTTCTCTTTACCAAAGGAAGTATGCATGAAACATATATATTGGATGATCGATGTTGATTGTTTTATTGTATAATCTTATTCCGGTCGATCTAATCTTTGTCACAAAAGATCAATTTTTGCATGAACTTAAATTGGTTTATGATCGTTCTTAATAGTTATTTGATTGATTTCGTTTACTATACTTGTGAGCTAGTAAAATCGATTTTAGTTTATCTAGTGCAACAAGTATATATACTGATAGTGGCGACACACAAAACATTACGACTTTCTAATGATGCGTGCAATCGAATTAATGGAGACTATTTACTTTTCATTATTTGTTATTGTTAGGTATAACTATCATTATTGTTTAATCATCATATATACTAGTGTCGGGCCCGGCCCGTTGGACGGGTAAACTAAACATAATAGTATCATTTGATAAAAGTTGGAACATGAAATTAATTGAAAACGTTTAATTTGTTTTGGTAACTTCTGTTAAAGATTGTTTAGTTAAGTGTTTATAAGGGAAACTGAAATTAAACAATTGGGTTGTAATCTTGCAAACATAATAATAAATATCACATTGGTAATGTGTTGCAAAAATGGTATCTGACATGACTGAAAAAATACAAATAGAAATACCAACTTAGCCCAACAATAAAAAAATGACCCCGTGAATTTGTAGTTTTAATTAAACCATTAGAGTAAAAAACAATAGAACTCTTTATTAAAGTAAACTCATTATTCTGAAAAAAAAACGAAAAGTAAAGTGATTGTGTAAATATAGCTAATGAATTATAAATTCAATCCAACTAAGGGGAACTGATCAGGTCAGTAACTCAATGGTCAGTAACCATGAGTAGCCTATTCACATCAGCATGACATCGGTATCCTCTCTCTCCTATAAAGTCTTTTATTTTCCCCTTTAATCTTTAACAGACGATTTCTCTCTCGTTTAAGTCGAAATTTAATTTTTTTGCACAGATAAATCAGATTAAATGTGCTCTTTAAAAAGGATATCCACTTTGATATATTTTTAGTACAAAAAAATTGAATACTTTTTTACTAGTCGTTACCATATGGTATGCTCCTATTTAATACCATATGGTAAGAAAGCGTACCATGATGGTATGAACATACCAATATGGTAAGAAGGTTCAATACATGATAGTAGGAGTATACTAACTGTCATTTACGACTTTCATCATTGTTTACCACAAGTTACCACCCACATACCATAGTGGTAAAGTATGGTAATTTTTTATCCAGTATTTTTTTCACCCAGAAATTTATAGATCCAATAGATCATGATTAACTCGTTCATTCTGAGCAAACGTTTTCAAAAATGACTTAAAAATGAAGAATTACCATATGGTATGTAGTTGGTAAAAAAAAGTTTCTCGAAATATATTGAAAATTGATCTCATTTTGTGTAACACAACGAACTCGTTCCATGTGTGCAAAAATAATTGAAATCCGAGCTCAAATGAAGAAGATAAGAGCCGATTATGAAAACTAGTGAAAATAAAATGTCTTTAATTGACAACCTTTAGATCTGAATTTTCTGGATCCACTTAGATCTAAAGGTCCAGATGTAGTTACTCATAGGTCAGTAACCAATGGTTACTGACCCTATCCTAAACCCAACCCAAGGGAAAACTTACCGGCCGACTTTGACCTCCCTCATCCCCCCCGTCTCTTTCCAGAAACACATAATTCTGGAACCCACTCGAACCCTTCTTTCTTTCGTCTTCCTCCCAGATTTGTCGGTTTCATGTCCGGAACGTGCAACAATGGTTTGCCGATCGCGCTGAAGAGGAAACCCACCTAGACACCGAGCCCGCCCCCGACTATGCCACTTGAGGTTGTCCGTTTCTGAAGATCTAGGTCTGAAATAAGACCCATAAATTGAATCTCTCAAGTTCCTGGAGAGTTTCATCAGTGGTGGGAGAGCGCTCAACCAACACGGAAGAGGAAGCCCATCAATTACGTCGGTCATCAATTCTTCGTGGGTGTTCCTCATGGGTATAGAGGATCGAGCCAGGGCGGAAGAGGTACCTCTTTGCTATTGATTAGGGCGTGCATAACTTCTGGTTTGGGGTTCTCCAATGGGTATGAAGGGTATTGGGTTGGAAGGAAGTAGAATCCAACAATTGCCAGCCCGTTCGCTCTTCCCCAGCTGCTTAGATTACCTTTCGCGCAATTAGAGGGGCTGTCCAGCGACCACCGTAAGTGTAGGTTGGTATTTTCCCCTGAGAATGGTTTATTAAGCTGTGGATCCACTCTGAATTGTAAGGAAGCCAAAACCATAACATTTATTTCGGATCCAGTAACAGGAATGTTGATTGTGGGTAAGCAATGGAGAAGCATTGAGATGGAGAAGAAGCACAGAGGGTGCAACAGCTTAGGGTCCGGTTCTTTCCTGTTGTTAGAGACTGGTGTGGCGTTGTCATGTAAATTTAACACAACCTTGATTTGTTTTATAGATTATTTTTGTTAGATAAAAAAAACTAAGGTGTGGAAGAATAAAAGAAAGTCAAATTGTTTTGTGTAGAAGTCGAAATAGTAAATTCAATAAACCAACTAACAGAAACATTATCATACCCAATAATGGTGGAAAACACCAGCAAGTTGAAAGATCAGCAAATTAATAATGTATGCTAGGAAAGTTTAACTTTAATAAGTAGAACAACCCTCAAGAGAATGACGTGCAAATATCCCTCTAATATATAAGCTACCTGAATAACTTGCAGAGGACTAAATTGAAATCATTAGCCACCGGGTTAAAGTCGCCAACTTCAACCATGAACTTAAAGGAATTGAACATTAGATAAGCTAAGAGGTTCTTGAAGTTGTTGGACCACTCATTGTCACTCTCCTCAATGATGTGACTTGCTATCCAACGGAACTTCCCAGTTGTGAAGATAAACGTACCCTCATCAACTCCATTAGCAACAATCAAACGCACTAAGTACTTCAATTTCTCAGCTGAGCACAAAACATCAACATCCTGTACTTGTCCAGCAGAAATGTAGAGACTACCCTGATATGTGAATGAAAAAAATATGTTTTTGAAGCATTAGAAAGATGAAACCACATGAAAGACATAAGACTCTTATGGTTTTGGGGGTATGGAGAAATGAAACGAAATTGACACACCATGAACAATTAAAGCACCTGCTTGTTTGAGACCGAAAAAAAATAAAAGAGTACAAAAACCCACCTGATTATTGATGTCATTCTTGTAGAGGTTCAGTTCCGAGATTGAGCAGGGTGTGCTCGCCCATATAGCATCCTTGAAGGTGTAATCAATGGCCAGATTGGTATTTTCCAAACTATGACATGAGCAAACAGGTTACAAACTGGTTTTCATGCCAATATAACAACCCAACTGGCGGGTGTAACTTAGAAATTAGATGCTTACTTATGAAGCAGAGTGTGTGCAATCGTATAGTGCAAGTTCCAATAAGTCTTGGTTGCATTTTAGGCCACACAATATGCTTGACATAGAATTAGAGCATACATAAATTGTGAAAATCAGAAAACCAAATATTCGCTACATAAAATCTAACCTTAAACAGCAAAGTAACTATAAGTACCATTGAAATGGTGCACAACAACAGAAGTAAAAACCACAACAGATCCTGGGTTTGGATGATTCGGCATCACAACATCAAAGTGGTCAATTAAGTCATCCCATAGCACTTTTTCCACAATAGGGCCTCTATAAAACAGGAAAACCAGGGTATTTAGAATTCAAAAGTAAGTAAACAGCAGCAGTAAATCATCTATTACTAGATAAGAACAAAAACGAACTGCATCATCCTAAGCAGAACACTCTTTCGCCTCAAAAGAGCAATATCTTCAAATAAGCCTTCTTCAAGGTCCGCAAGAACCAACACTCCAATTATATCTAAGCATAGACAAACTAATAAGATCTCAAAACGAAAATCCAAAAAATAAATCATGCAAGGACACGATCATAATTACCAGACATGTAAGCATGATTGTGAACTGCATTGGGAAGATCAGCAGCATCCAAAAACCAGAAATTGTAGGCAGGTATGTCTTGTCCATTAGGGAGCTCTTCAACCAAGGTGTCCTCACGAAAACAGATTCAGAGGGTGGCTGGAGAAACTCGATGGTCATCTTCATAGGGTCGGACATGAAAGTTAGTCAACCTGTAAATCCTTCCCTCATTTAGTAGAAAGAGATCAAACAATGGTATCTCATCCGTATCAACCTAGCCTTCAATCTCTGTTCCCTGAAACCACAATGGATTTCAATTTAGTGATGTCCAAAGTCCAGTCCCATCTAAAGCACATACCACAAAAGAACATAACAAACCTGGTTGTCCAGAAACAACATATGAAATTGTTCAATTGTGATCCCGTCAGGCGTCATTGTCCGCCATACACGAAGCGGTCTAACACGAACAGTGGAATCGCCATTGTGTTGATTGAGATGGGCTAAACTTAGGAGCGACATGGCATACGTGAATGAATGAAACAGAGTAACGGGGTTGAGAAGTATCAAATTTTCTAACTGCCTCCAAATGCTCCTTATATAATTTTTAAATTAAACCTGGGTAATTGCTGGAAATAAAAGTGGATGAACGTGGGTGTGGTGTGGTGCAATGGGATAAGGGTAATTATTATTTTTTTTGTGTACAAAATATGCTTGAATAGAATGAGTGGATGACGTGGGAGGAATGGAAAAGCATATGGGAATTTTCACGACATCAGTAAGAAAACACCAATAATCTATTTTGTCCTTTTTTACTTTAGTTTAATTAGATTATATAAGTAAATAAAAATTGGATATAATTGTTTGTGATTTTAAAGGTGGGATCACCTGCTTATGTGTTTGGGGTATCGCATGATGCATTGACCCATTTAATCAGGACATATCATATGTGTCTTATAAGATGCAGTGTTGTTAAAATTAATCCAGGAAAGGAAAATGAAATTTTTTCCGGCTAAGACATGTGATGAGTGCTTCATGTTTTGACGGTAATACATACAAATTGATCATCGGTAATCTAAAGCATTTGGATTGAAGTTGCAGTGGCTTGCTATGAATTAGTGTTATGTGTTGATGACTTCGTTTCTAATTTGCAAGTGCAGGCATGTCATGTCGTTCGCTGATGAAGGTACCAAATGATACGTTGTTGTGTGGAATATGGAGGATGCTGTGGTAGCATCACCAAACCAGTTTTGCCTTCAGCTTCAAGTACAAATGCTCCACCTGTTCATGGCAGTTCTCACAGTTATTGGAATTGATTCTTGACAGGCGGTGTACTCGAGCAACCCCGTAGGAACGTGTTTAACTAGCAATTGTAGAGCTTGCACCAAAAAATAAGCCTTGACCGTGTGCCCAAGTGGACCAAACTCATTGTAATTTAGAATTCATTGAATCTATGAAAGAAAAGCCAATCGGTGACGACTAAGTTTAGTGTCGTGTAGAATTGTTTACTTGGGGGAAATATTAAAGTGTAACCCTGGTGAACCTGTTCAATGTCGAGGAAACACCACAATGGTTCTTCAGAATTAACAATTATGATACAAAATTAACAAATAAACATGAAGGAGAAGCTAATTGGGAAACGTTGGATTGAGCTTATATTTTCAGTCTATCAATCTCAGAAGTAGCCACAGTTGGTATAAAAGACTTGGGTTCGTGACCAGGGTCGGAGGTGGATTTATTCTTCATTGGTACCTTTGAATTCATTAAGGAATACAAATTTATCAAAGTAATAATGAAGCATGAGCTGGCTGAGATTATCCAGAGAGCCCGCATACCCCTACTAAAACCTGTCTTCCATTTAATGATAAGAAAGAAAAATAAAAAACCACACTACTTGATTGAGGGTGCTTGAATGAGAAAAGCAATAATCCATACACCCAAATTATGGAACAAAAAAGTACTTATCATAAATGGAAAGCCATAAACTCCTTGAAAAAAAGAGTCAATGTTGCAAACTTGAGACACAACAAAGGGAGAAAACTTCAGACACAGCAAAGGGAGTAAGGAAACAACAAATGTTTGGACACATAGAAAGCAACCTAGAAACAAACAGATGGTGGGCTATTATATTTAGAAATCAAAGTGAAAGGCCACTTAGCAACAAAGAACCCAGTGGCCTCGCAAGTTCCAAGGAAGCACCATCACGACAAAGGCATCTTTCGCTTGAGTTTGTTGTCAGGAGGCATAGAACCAGAATCTTCGGCTGTTGAAATGGGGATGGATTGGTCATATGAAGTTTGGGAGGACTCAAGGCCACTGCTGAGTGATGAGGAGGAGCTGTCTTTGTGCAGATTAGAGTCCGAACACTGTGATGGAAATGGTGGCAAGAAACAAAATTAGTTACAGTAATTATGGCCTGCAGAACTTAGTGATCTGATTAACATTCATGTCAAACACACCTGTATTGGGTCTCTGGCAGAAAAATGCAAGGTTAACCACATAAAAAGATATCCATGCCTTATAAGAAAGCTTACCATTGCTTCAGGCTCCATAAATTTTAACACAGTGAATTCGGGTTGAGCATCACTGTATAGATTTGGCTTGAACTTCACATGGAACAGCTTGATGACACCAACTACTTTGAGCATATCTGCAGGGGGTTCCTCGTAGTTTTGACCAGTTCTATTGAATAGCTCATTAGCAGACGGGCCAAAGAATCGTTTCCCTTCATACTTGAAAATTATAAAGGTTGCTGACTTTGAATTGGCTTCAACCTCAAGCTGAATCTGATACCTGAAAGCACAGGAATGAAAGAAGTTTACTTAGTTTATCGAAGGTTGTAGTTTTCATATGATAGTCAGTTTGAGGCAACAAAAACAAAGGAACTTTACTTGGAAACTCTAATTGGAGTCAACTTGTTGCATTTCACACAGTAGTATTCTCCATTCCTTTCTATGGGTTTAAGGACACGGGTTGGGCAATCCATGTAACACCAAAATGGCTTGATCCCCACTACTTTGCAAGTAACAAAATAAACTCATTCATAATAAATGCTGATTTGAATTAGTATGTAAGAATAAGTTGGAAATGTATAAGATTCAAGAACAAAACTTAATGTCACCTCACTGTCCGGATTCAGATGTAATTCCAGCAATTCAGGAAGAGAAGGTGCAGGAATGGGGGCAGGTGGGGGCAGCTCAACATACAAGGGCTGCTCTGGTTGTACATCTCTTTAAGAAAGGAAATAAAGGCTTCAGTGAAAATTGACTTAACAATATAGTGCAGATATTGAGTAGCACGTAGGAATTAGTAACAATACCTTGTTGTGAAAGCCTTCAATTCTGGTATATCAAGGTTAGGATACAGGACTGTTGACCCAGAAGAAGAAAAGGAAAGTTGACCTATAAAGGCCAAGTAAATTGCTTTCTATCCATAACAAATACCATAAATTTCAGATGCGTGAATGGAATAATATCCTTACTCTTGAATAGATTCACAGAAACAGCAGTGACTACCAGAATTATAGGTTGATCACCAGCAGGTTTGACTATTTTATCAAATTCAGTTACAACTCTTCCCCAGATAACAACTTTCACAACATCACCTTTGCACAAAAGTTTGGAAACAGTTTCAGGTCATAGGTAATGAATAACTAAACTAAACAGAAGATAATACAATAAATTGATGGACTGAAAGTATACCCAATACAACAAAGTTTGATGTACGAACTTTCAAACAAAGTAACTCTAGTTGAACAAAGTTTCCAGGAGCTAGCTACATGATTTGAGACATCTAACCACTTTACTTATTAAGATCATGTAGTCCACGACACCACACAGTGGGCCATAAAACACTTAAACCTGAAAACCAACGCAATCCAACTCTCTAACAAATAAACTCTTCTTGACAAACTGGCAGCAGCTATTGGAATGACATCAGATTAGCTAATTTCTTTATCTATTAAGCATAATCAAGTCCACAGGACCAAACACTGGGCCATGAAAGTCTTGAACACAAATGCTAGCTAAATCATGATATATGAGTATTAACCAATATAAATTATTTGTCTTTATTAGGATGTCTAGCTACCTTCATCTGTGTAAATAAGCTAACAGAAATTATTTGCCTTCAAATGCTAACAGAAATTGGAGTTGTACACAACAAAAAATCAAAACTTATGATAAGATTCAACACTTAGTCATGCTCTTCCAAGTGTAAGGGTGTTAGGAATTTACTCAATCAGTTTCAGCACAAGTTCCTTCCTAGTGGTTTTTCGAGAAAGATTGGTTGTGGTAAGGAGATTCGAGTGCTTCACCAATTCGCCAACAACATCTACGATACAAAAGAGGGAATTGACATTAGAACCAATTAACACCATAAGCAACAACAACCATGAATAATGAGCAAGGAAGTTACCTGAGAGGATGATGATTTGTCCCAATTTATCTTTCATCTAACTTGCTTTAGTGAAACTGAACTTGAAGGCAGGAATGGAAGGGATGTCAGGAACACGTTGGATAGTAGTCATCCAATTAAAAGTCATGATATATGAATTGGCAATAGGCCAATATTTGAGTTGGGTCGGGTGAATTTCGTAGTCCTTGATGATGTAAACTTCTTGTTCATGCAGCAGTGCCTTGAAGTGCTCTTGCAACACCGGTGGGATGTGACTCATATATCATTTCCCTGACAATATTGAAATGAAAGGTTAAATGAAGTCATCTATCTTGGAAGGTCAATAAAGAAACGAAGATCATTTTATAGAACATACGTACCTTGGAATCCATCAAGATCATGTCTAAATGCAGGACTTTGTCTGTCGTGACACTTGCACCAAGCCAAAGCCTAGAGACGCGACAATGGCCTGCCCAGATTTGTTTCTCAGACTAAAGATCTCGCGTGCCATTGAAATCCATCTTCTAGCTAGCAGACGAACATGTGGTAAATAGTTATAAACCTGGAGAACTAAGTTGGTTTGACGGTAGGAAACAGATGGAGGTTTTTAGAGGAGAACAGGTCCCTGGTAACTTAACAGAGTGCAATATGAATACTGAGGTGAATCGGGGAACTTGAAGTAGATAACGGCCGACCATTGCTGTGGTGACAGTCACCAAACAACCCACGTTTCCCACGACTGAAAACATCTCCGGGGCGGTTCTAAGAGTGTGCCCTGTGTCAGTTGGCAAGGGGATGTGGAACTCAGGATTCGAACAGGGGATTTTTTAGTTATGGAGGTTATCCCCAATTTCAAATACACAATCATAGGCATACGCTGAAAGCAATCAACTGGAGGAATTGTGTTGTTGCCGGTTCTGGCAGCAATGAGAATCCCTATCTACAAGCGAGATTGATTCATAAACAGCTATGTGGCTGCGCCTGGCGTTCATAATGGCGGTGGAGCGTGTTTTGCTATTAGAAATGGGCGCCGGAAAGTTTGGGAGAGGTGTGATTCGACGATGGTATTCGATTCAGCTTCAGCATGTGGACCGAAACCTGCTCCACTGCTGCTTTGCGAAACGATATGCACTATTCAG